TTGTACAATGTTATAATGAATATTAATAGTAGAAAAAATCTTACGAATTATTTAAGGATGGTCGGGGGTGACTTATTGTTGATCAGTATTGAAATACGCGTTTTTAACTTCTGAAAAATTACAGTTGAATATTTAACGAAATTCACTTATGCTTCTTATGAAAATATTTTGCTTAACTTTAATGATTTCACAACAACGAAAATATTTTAAGCTCCGTCGGAGGAGGACAATGGAATTTGCGGGCTGAAAATTTGGTTTGGCTGTCTCCGACAGGAGATTCCAGTAGAAGACGACATTTTATAGAGGTTTTGAAATTAATGGTTAACATATATATATATAATAAGTTTAGATTAGTGTATACCCCACTGTATACTATACATATAATAAGTTTAGATTAGTGTATATACCCCACTGTATACTAAAGATAATAAGTTTAGATTAGTGTGTATACCCCACTGTGTGCTAGAGATAATAAGTTTAGATTAGTGTTTATACCCCACTATATACTATAGATAATAAGTTTAGATTAGTGTGTATACCCCACTGCATATACTATAGATAATAAGTTTAGATTAGTGTGTACCCCACTGTATAGTATATATATAATAAGTTTAGATTAGTGTATACCCCACTATATACTATATATATAATAAGTTTAGATTAGTGTATACCCCACTGTATACTATACATATAATAAGTTTAGATTAGTGTATATACCCCACTGTATACTATAGATAATAAGTTTAGATTAGTGTGTATACCCCACTATATACTATATATATAATAAGTTTAGATTAGTGTGTATACCCCACTGTATGCTAGAGATAATAAGTTTAGATTAGTGTTTATACCCCACTATATACTATAGATAATAAGTTTAGATTAGTGTGTATACCCCACTGTATACTAGAGATAATAAGTTTAGATTAGTGTATACCCCACTGTATACTATATATATAATAAGTTTAGATTAGTGTATATACCCCACTGTATACTAGAGATAATAAGTTTAGATTAGCGTGTATATACCCCACTGTTTACTATAGATAATAAGTTTAGATTAGCGTATATACCCCACTGTATACTATATGTATAATAAGTTTAGATTAGTGTATATACCCCACTGCATATACTATAGATAATAAGTATAGATTAGTGTGTACCCCACTGTATAGTATATATATAATAAGTTTAGATTAGTGTATACCCCACTATATATACTATATATATAATAAGTTTAGATTAGTGTGTTATACCCCACTGTATATAATATATATAATAAGTTTAGATTAGTGTGTATACCCCACTGTATACTATATATATAATAAGTTTAGATTAGTGTGTATACCCCACTGTATACTAAATATATATAATAAGTTTAGATTAGCGTGTATACCCCATTGTATACTATAGATAATAAGTTTAGATTAGTGTATATACCCCACTATATACTATATACATAATAAGTTTAGATTAGTGTATATACCCCACTGTATACTAGAGATAATAAGTTTAGATTAGTGTGTATACCCCACTATATACTATATATATAATAAGTTTAGATTAGTGTGTATACCCCACTATTTACTATATATAAAGTTTAGATTAGTGTAGTATACCCCACTGCATATACTATAGATAATAAGTTTAGATTAGTGTATACCCCACTATATACTATATATAATAAGTTTAGATTAGTGTATACCCCACTGTATACTATACATATAATAAGTTTAGATTATTGTATATACCCCACTGTATACTTTAGATAATAAGTTTAGATTAGTGTGTATACCCCACTGTATACTAGAGATAATAAGTTTAGATTAATGTA